CCCATGTAACTATTACGCGTGATGGTCCCTGCTCTCCTGGAGATGGCTCCTGCCCTTGGGAAGCAGTGAACTAATTCCTTGTTTTGCTTTGCTTGTGTGTGTGTGGCTTTTGCTTTCCCTATAAACTATCTTTATCTTGGCCCTTGAGTTTCCTAGCTTTTACCCTTCTGATTCTCTCCCTGATTCTGCTGGTTGGGGGAGTGAGTGAGTGGCTGTGTGGGACTTGGCTGTTGCTTGGGGTTAAACCACAACAACCATATAGCATGAACTAATATTACAAGTGAAATCAAAAGGAAGGTTCCTCCCTTGCAAATATACCTTTGAAGTACACAAGAAGGGAGAGGGACTTAGGCATTCTGACAGCAGGATGAAAAACCCCAGGTGATTGAGGTTGTGTGATGGGCAATGACCTCAGCACCCTGGAAGCTCAGTGTCATTAAGGCTTTTGCAGGAGAGGGAGTTTTGACAAAGGGTCAAGGAGTGGTACTGAGAATGATGAAAGGAGGTTCCCCTAGCTGAAGTAAGCAGTGAAGAAGGCCTGAAGCTGCTGGTCTGAAAAAGGAGGAAGCAGAGGCTATAGGAGACTGATGAGGACATTGGAAGTAAAAGCAGACAGCTAAATGCATCTCAAGATGAGGGAGAGAGGAAGCCAGTAAATAGAGCTGGGAGAGGAGCACACTGAATGGTGAGGAGAATTCACTCCTGAACTGGTCACTGACAGCTGATGTGCATTTTTCCTTAGCTTGAGATTTTGTAAAGCAGGTGGCTATTTGTTCTAGTATATGCAGCTTTTAGAAATACACATTTTAAGTAAGTATCACACGCAGAGTCAGAGATGCACAGGCTGCAGCACATAAATTGAGCTTCCAGGCCAGTGAATCTGCATTGCTTGTGCTGCCGTGCTCATCTCAGTGGCCTGTAGAGCACGCAGGAATCATCTTGATGTGAGGCAGCCAACCCTCTGCTTCTCTTTTTCCCTGCAGAACCTCTATGTGTCTTTTTCACATCACTGTGAGATCTGCCATGAGCCAAAATATACTGTCACCCAACCACGAGACAGGCACACGTGATCCCACACACACGCTCCAGCCTGCAGGTGAAGCCTGCTGGAAAATCACAGAATCACTTAAGTTAGAAGGGACCACAATGGGTCATCTGGTCCAACCTCCCTGCTCAGGCAGCATCACCCTAGAGCACATGGCTCAGGATTGCATCCAGATGGTTTTTGCACACCTCCAGTGAGGGAGAATCCATGACCTTTGGGCAACCTGTTCCAGTGCTCAGTGACTGCACAGTAAAGAAGTTCTTCCTCATATTCAGGTGGAACTTCCTATGCATCAATTTTTGCCTGTTACCTCTTGTTTTATTGGTTACCACCACAGAGAAGAGTCTTGGCTCCATCAGCTTGGCACTTCCCATTCATGTACTTGAATGCATTAATGAGTTCCCCAATCCTGGTGTGCTACTGAACATTATCCCCTTGAGAAGGACAACTACCTCCGTCACATCAGGGTGGGCAGGTTTGCCCTGAGTACAGATCTTCATTCCTGCCTCATGCTTAAGGTACAGCTGGTATGTGACAGGCAGGCCAGTAGTTTGGACATCTAGTAGATCTACCTGGGATGAAAGCTTGGGAACCATCTTTAATTCAAACAGCAATAGCCTGATGGCTTTACCACATATTGCAAAGTCATTGTGAAGGACAGCTTTGCAGTCTCTTTCTTGCATGCCCTCTCTCCTCTTCCCTTCCCCAGAAACTCATGTATTGCAAAGCATCCAGGCAGGAAAGTGAATTCTGAGGTGGGTGAGGTTTTAGACATTGCCTTTTGAAGTACAGACTGCTGGGTTTCCTCAACTTTTATTATACACTCAATGTTACAAAGGCAGCACATGCAAAAAAAAAAAAAACCAACAAAACCCCAAAATTCAGAAACCACCCCACCCTGAAAAAAAATAAAAGCCAGAAGAACTGACCACCCACCATAATTTTGGATTTAGTTGCTACATTTATAAACCCTGCAGGTATAACCCCTACTGTGGAAGCACTGGAGGTTCAAACAAGGTATTGAAAAATACTTCAGCTTCCTCTCTTTCACCTTGTGATAAAGGAGAAGAGGTATGAAAGGTCAGAGGAGACAACAGGAGAACATTAAGTATTTTGGAAAACCTATCATTTTTGCTGAAACTTTAGCTTTGCTGGAAAACAGTGGTGGTTCAGGTAACCATTATGTACTTTTGTCCTGGGTTGCAATGGTATGTATTCTATTTTCATCTCCACAAGCTGTTAAAGAAGGTGGGGCAGCGATCCTTATCACCATGTCCCTGATGGCTCCCTCAGGGGGCTGTCTCTGATTAATGGGCTGCCAAGGACCCATACATGACACATCCGCCCAGTGACCCTTATCGCCTTGTCCCATTGTGAGGTGACTCACTCCAGGGGTGGGGAGCCAAACATGCTCACAGGGATATAAGCTGGGGTTTGGACCAGCACAGAGAGCCCTTTGCCTGCTGGATTCCCAGAGGACAAGAGCTGCTGCTGGACCTTCAGGAGAGGAGCAGATCTGCGGGATCACTGCTCCAACAAAGCCATTGCTCCAGGAGGACTGCAGCTACCATTTTAATCGGACTACTACTAACACCCTGACTGACAGGGTGTCAGGTTACTTTCTGACTCTGTCAGGTTATTTTTGTACTGTTGCGTTTGTTATTGTTTTGTTGTGTTGTTCATATTAAATTGTACTTCTGACTTGGAGTCTCTCACTGGTTTGCTTTCAAACCAGCACACAGATCCAACTTTACTGATTCTTGATGTGTTCAGAAAGACAAGCTTAACTTTGCAGGGTCAACAAAAACCTACATTTATTACTAAGTTTAACTTAGATAATGCAACTAGGACCAGGGAAAAAGTGGTCTTGCAGGGCAATGGTATAGTCATCACTGCCAACAGACCCAAATCATCTGCCTGACTGAATGATACTTTGGAGGCTTCGGCTCCCAAAATAATAATTTCCTGTAAATCCACCCATGAAAAAATCCTCCTTTGGGTCTCACAGAAAATCACAATTTAACTTAAGTCAGCAGTACCAAACTATTCACTGCTCCTACACTGATGAAATAGACTGACAAGAAACAGAAACTGGGAACCCAATTTTGGGACTTGTGTGTCAAAACTTTTATGCAGAGATCATTTTATTACTATTTCTCCTATATTAGACAGGTCAGACAGATGTTTTTGCGCATGTTCAGAAAAGGTGGTGCTTTAAGAAAACTGTGTGCTGTTATTTTAAGCCACCAAAAGCATTGTAGTCCAGGCAGGTTGATATATTCCATGTACCAACTGGACTGTCAGAAAAGGAAAACAAGTCTTCTATTTTCCATGGTCATTCTCACATGCTGATATTACCTCAGTGTTTTTGAAAAGACTCAAGCCTGTCCAAGCTCTTTACCACTGCCTCACATTTCCCTTCAGAGAGGATGATGCATTCTGTAAAACTGTCTTTAAATCAATAAATCAGCACAGCCATTTCTCCTGAATCTCTAGCTTTGATAAATCTTGTCATTCCCTTGGTACTTGGTAACTCAATTTGCCATTGATCTGTTTGATAAGAAGAGGATGGTACTTGTATTACTGTGTTTTAACTGAGGGAAGAATTCACCAAAATCAAAATGCAAAACAGGAGATAGTGATTTCCTTATTAAATACAGAAACACAGCCACAACTAGGTCTATATGTCAGTTCATGGCTCTGTTTACTGTACTGGATAACATTTCACCTCTAACTCAGACTTACCTGTCCCTCAAAATAGGTTTTGTTTTCCCAGACACTATGTGTAAGAATGTGAGGCACACTCTTCCAAATAAATTGTAAGTACACAAATCCTAATACCTCAGAGAATGTTAGGAAAAAAAGAAATACAGACAGCTGTACAGTTTTATACACATCCCAAAAATCAATACTGAATAACAGTAACAAACTGTATGGATTTCTACCTAATTAGGACAGTAGTTTTTCTTAAACAGGATGCCTGCATGTGATTAAATGATACTCATGCAGGGCTGTTGGACCTAGTGACTACTGGAAATCAATATTTTTTCTAGTCCACTTTGATGGCCTTGTCCAAACATTAGTTCAAAAAGCCAAAACAAGTTCCATGACCCTTTCAGAACGCCATGTAAGTTGTATTGACAATTTATGTGAATAAATCTATGGTGCAAATTTTCCTGTGAATTCTGCACCTGGAACCAGGCCCTAGGAAGTCATCAGACCTGTGTATAATTCAGTTTTATATAGTAAAATCACCTCTCATTGTCCTTTTATGCCAACACTAAAGTACTACAGCCACACACCAGTACCTCAGCAGTGTGCTGCACCTGAGGATGTCACTGTGAGGTGCTAACACCACCACAGCATCATCCACACTGCCCTTACTCATTGTTGTACACCTCTCTGATGCCCTTGCTCCACGCTGCCTCCACCACTGACTGCCATGGTGCCCCTCTGCCCTTTCCTGTCCTCAAAGGATGGGCAACAACTCCCTCCCATCAGCACAAAGAGGGAGGTGCTGCTGGTAGTTTATGGAAACTTTCATTTTTCTAGTCCATCAGCAATACTTGCGCCATAAAGATGTCTTTTCTGGCAATAGTATTGTTAAAAGGCTATCATCCATCAGGGCTGCCAAAACAAATCAGGGTAGGGTTAATAAAAATGATTTACGGTGTTTGAATCCTGTCTGGGACTAGCAAAACATTTGATGAAAGAGAAGTAAGTATAGATTTCCAAGCTGCCTGTTTATGCTCAGCTTAAAGTACTGGCAATTTTCCCTAGTCAAGTAAAAGGACAGTGATGCCAATGAAAAATTCTGCTTTGCAGGGCAGAATGGCTCTCTGTGCTTAGTACACAGCTCAGATTACCTCTCTATCCAAGCCCAATACTACACCTGAAATGCAGGATGAACTGCAGTGAACTATTTTTACATCTTAAAATGCCCTTTTTCCTTAAAAAAAAAATAATTTATTTCCACATTTCATAAAACATCTTTTGTAGACATTCTGCAAACAACACTGTCCAACAAGGTCCCGATTTTTTCCTCCTGAGGAGTAATTTTGTACATCTGCAGAAAAAAAAGACAAGAGAAAAGCTGTATAAGGAAGAAAAAAACTGATCACATACCTTCTAACTATATGTACAGAAGAAAAGATTTTTCCCACTCTCCCATAGAACCATCAAGGTATGAGGAAACTTCTAAGATCACTGAGTCCAACCATTAACCTGCTGCTGGAACCCCTCTAAACCATATGCTCCAGTGCCAGATCCAAATGCTTCTTAAACACTTTCAGGGATGGTCACTCCACCACCTTCCTGGGCAACCTATTCCAGTTCCTGAACACAGTAACAGGGAAAAGGTTTTTCCTAACATCTAACCTCAATCTCGATCCCACTTCTTACATTGGAAATTCCTGTCTTGTCCTAACTGCCAGACAAACTCGGGACTGAGGAATCAAGCAATTCCTGAAACTGCAAGACTAAGGAAAGCTAAGAAACTGACTGAGAGCAGCATTTTCAGCTCCACATGTTAAATGCTATGATTTGTCCAACTTTATTCATATGGCTCCTATCATTACTTTGAGGGACATGATCAAGATGATTTAAGTTACTTGAATTTTATCTTGTAGAACACATATGCTTCAAGATACCTATCTAGCATATGGCAATTGATTAAGAGCACACATGCCCTAATACAGCTCCTAGCAGCTCATCAACATGTTTTTCTTGCAACCACCCATGCTGGGACTATTTATGTGCTTCAGATTATGAAACTGTTCAGGACTGAAAATTTTAATTAAATGGATATTTGCCTGAGAAAACAGGAAGCAAAAGTACCGGAATGATAGGCAGCAATCTAGAATTTATTGTTATGTTCCAACTTCCTGACAATGTTAATAATTGGAAGATGTAAACTTTGTGATGTTCGGGACTGACAACTAGAACTTGTTTCAGGTAAAAGAGTTACAAGAAATAAACAATCAAGGTTCACTTAAAACAAGTTTCCACTTGTGCTAAAGAAACACAGACCCCAGTCTGTCCATCGATATGTGCCTTTCATAGAATCATCAAGGTTGGAGGAGACCTCTAAGATCATCAAGTCCAACCATCAACCTGTTGCTCTGCTGGAACCCCTAAACCATATCCTCCAGTGTCAGATTCAGATCCCTCTTAAACACTTGCAGGGATGGTGACTCCACCACCTCTCTGGGCAATCTATTCCAGTGCCTGACCACCCTAACAGGGAAAACATTTTTCTTAATATTTACTCTGATTCTGCCCTGTCTCAGCTAATGACCATTTCCTCTAGTTCTCTCCCTACAGGCATGGCAGGAGAGACCATCACCCACCTCTCTACAACCCCCTCAGGTAGCTGTAGAGAGCCATGAGGTCACCTCAGAGCCTCTTTTCAAGGCTAAACAAACCAAACTCCCTCAGTCCTTCCTCATAGGACATGTGTTCTAGACCTTTTCTGAGACTTGCTGCCCTTCACTGGACTTGCTCCCTCAATGTCCTGTCCTCTTTAAAGTGAGAGGCCCAAAACTGAACACAGCACTGAAGTATGACCTCACCAATGCCAAGTACAGGGGAATGATCCCTTCCCTAGTCCTGCTGCCACACTATCCTTGATACAGGCCAAGATGCCATTGGCCTTCTTGGCCACCTGTGCACACTGTTGGCTCATATTGAGCCACTGTCACCCGCACTGCCAAGTCCCTTTCTGATGAGCAGCACTCAAGTCACTCTTCCCCCAGCCTGTAGTGCTGCGTGGGGGTTGTTGTGTCCCCATGTTACTTTCTCTGTGCCAGTCTTCTTTTATGGCTACACACCTTTTTAACTTTGGCAGTGTCAGTTAGCTGGGGGAGTTCATCCAGAGGCACCTGCTGGCCTTCCACCTGAGATGCTATATCTTCCAAATTAACAGTTTTGCCACTGTCCACAACTAGAACAATGAGCACTGCTGTGTCACTGTCTGAAACGCCAAACTTTTTAAATGCATCTGAAATCTGAGAAGAAATAAAACGTATCAAAATATTATGAGCCACTTTCTCATTACATATAAGAAACCTTTTCAGTTACAGGGTCAAATACACTAAGAGTATAAACTGACAAACATTTTACAGCAATGGAATTCTGACAAGCTACAAACAATAACAGCATATTAATGTTATTAAAAATAACAGTAACTTCTACTAGCAGCCAGGTAAACTGTTAAATGAGTATGTATATTTAGTTTGGCTGCATGGATCTTAGCAAGCTTCTCTGGCAAAAAAAGAAATTTGTTCAGTAAATCTTACATTGTTGTTTGGTGAAAGGCTGCAAATGACTTCCGCATAGAGAGTTCTGGTCTTCATTTTACCTATCTTGTGTAGATGTACTGCCTTGTTGGCTGCCACGAGAATTTGAAAAGGATCTACAATCTGTAAGACACAACAGAAACAGTCACACAGAAATTTAACAGTTTTGAAATCTTAAAAAACCCTTACCAGTGCATTTTGATAGACTAAATCTACAGTCGTAGTAGGCTCCAAATAGTAGATTTTTGGCAGCATGAAGCAATTAGTACTACATTTTACAAGTGGAAGTAGATTTAAATAGCTGCATGAAATAGGATGTGAAATGAACCAAGACAACAATTGTTTGCCCAATCCTGTCAAGACTCTTTCTTTTACACAGACATACTGTGCACAGGTCTGGTGTCCCCAACACAGGAAGGACATGGAACTCTTTGAGCAAGCCCAGAGGAGGCCACGAAGTTGATAAGAGGCCTGGAGCATCTCCCCTGTGAGGACAGGCTGAGGAACTTGGGGCTGTTCAGCCTGGAGAAGAGAAAGTTGTGTGAAGACCTCACAGCAACTTTACAGTATCTGAAGGGGCTACAGGGCAGCAGGAAAGGGACTCTTTGTTAGGAGCTGCAGTGATAGCACAAGGGGGAGTGGGTATAAATTGAAATAGAGCAAATTTAGATTATGTATTAGGAAAAAAATTTTTCCTGTGAGGGTGGTGAGACACTGGCACAGGTTGCCCTGGGAGGCTGTGGCTGCCCCAGCCCTGTCATTGTTTAAAGCCAGGCTGGATGAAGCCTTGAGCAGCCTAGTCTGGTGGGAGGTGTCCCGGCCCATGGCAGGGGAGTTGGGACTAGATAATCTGTAAGGTCCATTCCAAGCCCTAAAATTCTATGACAATTCTATGATGAAATACATTTTTGACAGCACGAAGCAATTAGCACATTTTACAAGCGGAAGTAGATTTAAATGGCTGCACCAAGTAGGATGTGAAATGAACCACGACAACAATCGTTTGGCCAATCCTGTCAAGACTCTTTCCTTTTACACAGACGAACCCTTGGCCTGTAGGACACCGTAGTGAAACAGGACAGGAGCATTTCCTCAGAGCGCGGAGGACGCGTAAAGCAACTCAAGGAAAGCAACGAAGGTTGTGTGGCCGCGCCTACAAGCACAGGTCATTTTCCCAGAGCTCCCAGGAGGATTTCCAAACAGCGCGGCCCGGGCGCGCACTCACCATTGCGGGGTTGATGAGCGCTCCTTCCAGC